ACACCATTTCATCTTGACTTGAACAAATTCAAGATATTTTCAGCACCTCATTTATTATTCATGATAAAAAAAACCTGATATCACTTGAATAGTAGGAATGAGTTTTCTCTCATCATATGAACAAGGCATTTTCTTCAACCTTGGGATACATTTAAAACAGCAGGTCTGATCCACACCCTAATTAGTAAAAAGGTATAAGGTACTTTGTGTGGAACACCAATAACCACTGGAAGAAAAATGCAGCTATGTTATATAGTTTTTGATTTAACAATTGTCTATACTAACCAAAACAAATTTCAAGAAATATTTCATTACCGTCCAAAGCTACATACTTGCTTCATTGCAGCATAACAGTCCAATATTTTTCTGAACAGGAGCATGAAAATTGACATATTTCCCCTATTGAATCTAGAATCTTATTTACAGCTACAGTATACAAACTGTTCAGTGACTCTTGTTCACTGAAGTCTACTGCATACACAAAAGCTTATCTGGTCATACATCTTAGAGCAATAATGTTATGAAAAGGAAACCTTTATCCTAAGCCATTCCTAAAATGATGGCTCAAAATGAAAGCCAGTGATGAGGACTTTCACTAAAAGTGTTTTAAAATGATGAGTATAAAATGACTGTAGTGCTCAATATAAAAATACGCCTCTTTTTTGGCAAGGTGCCCACTCTGCACCTTCAGTTACACTGGAATCACATTATACCTGCCATCTGGATGCACACTGAGCTAGGGCATTTTAGTTTGTGACTGGCTGATCAGATTTTGATACAGAAGTAAGCTTCGGTCAGATGTCGGCTCCTGCCATGTTACAGATGTTGGGCACAGCATTCAGTCATGCTAACTATGCTGCGTCATCATGATGCTTAGTTATGAAATGAAACATTTTCACCCTGCAACCGTGTGTTATATTCTAGTAATTCTCAATAAATTCTTCCTAAACCAACCATAAGGCCTAAATCAAGATCATATTCTTTTTAGAAGCTTGTCAAAAAGTACTGAATGTATCAGCAAATTCCAAGCACACTTACCTGTTCACAAGAACAAAGCAGCTAACAATATATAAAGGTAAAGGAAAAGGTTCCCTTGCTCGAAAGCCAGTCGAATCCGACTCTAGGGTTTGAAACTCATCTCCGTTTCAAAGCCAAAGAGCCAGCGCTGTCCGAAGACGTTTCCGTGGTCATGTGGCTGGCATGACTAAACACCAAGGCGCACGGAACGCTGTTACCTTCCCACCGAAGTGGTACCTATTTATCTACTTGCAATTTCTTGCTTTCGAACTGCTAGGTTGGCAGGAGCTGGAACTAGAGATGGGAGCTCACTCCATCATGCGGCACCCAGGTCTCAAACTGCTGAACTACTGACCTTCCACAGCCTGCAGTTCAGCATCTTAACCACTTGAGCCTATATATATATAGAGAGAGAGAGACCATGTCAAAACTGAAGGCTCAAGTTTTAGAGATCAAGGACTTCTTAAAACAGTGTGTTTAAGGGAATAGGTCTTTGAGTACAGAGTTAGTCCAGTCCAAATCTTCAGAAAGACATAGTAACAAACTATTTAAAGAAGCCAAACTCAACATACCATTTAGCAAGCCACAAACATCATCTCAAGTTATTTTTAAATAACCAATCTTTGCATTGTCCAATGAAACTAGCAACCTTAGAGCAAGAATGGTTTTATCACACTAAAAGCTATACAGATTACTGGCTACAGAACAGAAGATCTGTCTGTCAAATGGTTTCCACTGAAATGCAACAGATGAGGATACTGCAAACACCTGTTTCAAAGCTGAGTCCAGACCAAAAGCTACAAACACCTCCACAATTGTCTTTGGGAACTATAAATGCTATCTATATATTCATGCCTTTTTGTTGCATTACAGTTTTTCTTTTTTGACTTAGCACTTAAGGTAGACTCTTTAAATGGTGTGGATAAAAGAAATATTGCCTTCCTTGAACATGCATTCTGTGGCTGACCTATTTCTTCACTCTGAGCAGTTTCTCAAAAGATGCTTTCAGTGACTGCTTGTTAAATTGGAGAGCCAAGAGCCTTGCCAAACTTTAACTGGGAAAGACATTCCAGTTCTATGACAAAGCGAACAAAAGGTTCATCCTATTTCTGATTAATTCTTTAGTTTCCCACTGGCAGAGAAGGCAAGAGGTTCAGCATAGGTAGGCTGCCTGAAGGGGCTGATAAGCCCAGAGTGAAATGCATCAGCAATTAAGAAAGAAAACAGCACACAATCAACACTGAAGGTGGTAGTGCCATCAAAATGTAGTTTTCGAGAATTACATTCCAGATAAATTGGTTCTTGGTTGCAGTACCTTGTCTATGTATTTAGTCAAGAAATATCTAGTCTCTATACACTTGTCTTATGTTTGAGCAACATGTCATTGGAATAGATTTCCTAATACTAAGGAGTTCTTTCGAAACAGATTATGTTCAACTGAACTACATCATATTTTTGACTTTAACACAGCTTCAGCCTTGGATTAGTAGGGGCAGCAACCACATCCTCTGCTAATTCCAAGGCTGACCACATCCTCAAATGAGCTGGTCTCATATGTTTGTTCAATGTACTGCATGTGCAACATGCTGGTCAAATAGCAGATTTATTATAAAACCACTGTCAAAAACACATCCTGAATAGTTAAGCCTTATACAGAAGCTGTCAAGTTATTTTTCACTAACATGCTTTTTAAACTACTCATGTTTCCATTACCCCCTGAAATGTACCCAAAACTTTCTGTCAGGAATTTTTGGGAGCTATGCATAGAGGAGGGACAGAAAGAAGGCCCACAAAATAAAACTAACTTTCTATACTACAGCAATACTAAATTGAGAGATAGTATGGTGCAGTGGTTAGAAGTGCTGGACTAATATCTGGAAGACCCAGGTTCAAATCCCCATTCATGCCATGGAAGTTTGCTGGGTAACCCTGGGCCAGTCACACTCTCTTCAGCCTAACCTACCTCACAGGGCTGTTGTGAATATAAAATGAAAGAGAGGAGAATGATGTAACCTGTAAGCTGCTTTGCGTCCCGATTCGGGAGAAAGGCAGGGTATATGTGAATTACATAAATATTGCATACAACTTTACATAATAAATACATATTCTTGCAGGTCAGGGTCAAAATTTTAACTACAAGAATAAAGTATAAGAGAACAAGAAGAGAGCACTACACTAATTGTATGTAAATCATTTCTCTATTTCCTTTGGAACAAAAGGATGCTACAGAAACCTAGGCACAGCAGACAGGCCAGTTGTATTGTGCTCCTACCATTTAGTATCACAAGGCACGAGTTCAAATTTCAAACAAATTCAGTTTCACAATTACTTCACAAATAAAATGCTGCATGCCCCCATTTCTAAGCATAGAAACTTCCTCACACAAAGCAAGGGGAACCAACCGACCCCATACTGGTACCAATGAATGAAATATTCTGAACACTGGCAAAGATATTATTCATCAGCATTAACCTACAAATATTTCCCCTTTCCAATCCTGACCGAGGAATCAATTGCTGTTTCTTAAATGCACTCTCTACTACTAGACCTTCATTGTGCTAAGTGGCATTACTGCCATTTTTATTGCCATGAGAAAAGCTGAAAAACTGAAGGTTTTCAAATACTTTACAGAGGTAAACAAGAATGTCTGCCTACACAGTATAGCAAGAGGAGATGGAGCAAGTGATGACAACTTGCAAATTATCAGAGCATCTACAATGTGTATAGTCCTGGCAAAAAGCACAGGCTTATGCTGGCAGGCTGGGAGACTCTTCCAAAGACTGTCACAGGTTTCTACTACAGACCACAGCTATTGTAAGAGGAAACCAAGATTATGCAAGCAAAACCAGACCAAATCAAGAAGGATCTCTGTGTGAGATTTTTAAAACTCCTGGAACAGGAACTAGACTTCTACTTTTTAATCAGTCACCTGTTTCCACGACCAGAAACCATGCTCGTTCACCTGATGCCCTACCCTATACTAATAAAGCATTGCTTGCCTGTAGCAAGGGGATAGGCAAAAAGAGAGATTAGTTCCCAAGGTTACAGTAGCCCAAAGAAAGAAGCAGACAGTTAGGTAAAGGAGGAAGGCAAAGGAGGTAAAGGAAATATAAAGGTGACTAAATGCATCCATGCATCCATGCACTCTTGCGGCTCTACAGAGATCATTTGCAACTGGAAGGGTCCATCCACATATGGCAACCCAGCTGCAAGGATGCAGCAATAGAACGATAGCCAATGATGTGCAGACGCAGTTAGTTAATCCTGTCTATAATACTAATGTATTTGGGGGGAGAAAGTCTTAAAGACAAAAATTATGGCAATCTTCTTTCTAAACGCTTCTGAATGATATACGAGGAAACTTGTTAGCGGTCCGGGTAACAGGCACCTTTAGCTAGACTGATGAGAGAGAAGAAAAGCGCTGTGCAGCCAGTATAGCCTCTAGTCCTTTGAAATAGCCTTTAGCAGGAGGGAGGAAACAGCCTCTACTCCTCCAGCCTTTGTAAATTCAAGCACAGAAGTCGGGCACACGCTCGTCTGCGTATTAAGCTTTTAGAAACCGAGCAGTGTTTCTCTTCCCCTCCAAAGCCCGCAAACTCAACCACCCCGCTGCATTCAGAGAAGCCGAACAAGGGAACAGCCGTAAAGAGAGAGAACAAGCAAACTTCTCTACTCGTGAGGGGCACCGGTGTAGTTAGTGCCTTACAAAGAGTTCTCGTGGAAGCGGCTACCCCCTCCACCACCGCCGCCACCACCAGGGCGGGGGCTAACTTGGACCCTCGAAGAGGAGCGAGCGAAACCTAAATATGCGGGGGAATGGGGGGGGGGGGGGGGCGGTTAGAGAGCTCCCCTCACCCGGACAATAAACGGAAATCGGAGGTTAAAGCGCAAGGGGAAGGGCACACCGTTACAAGAGGGCGGAGAAGGGCGCCTAGAGCCCTCAGGGGCGCCGGCAGAATCCCAGCGGGCTAAACTGCTCTCACCTCAGCTCGCTTGAGACGCGACTCCTCAGACCAACCAGCAGCTGCACGGCTTCTTCCTCCCACCACTCGCCTGAGCTACTAAGCAGAGCTACCGCCCCGATTTCGGCATTTATCCCGCCCGCCGGCGAGGGAGCGCAAGAGCGGCCAGGCGGCGCCTACTCCGCTCCCCCCGCCCACTGCCCCTCCGCCGCCGCCGCCGCCGCCTTCCTCGTCCACAACAACGCCGCCCTCAGCTCCATGCCGAACGACCTCGTCGCCCGCCCCCAAGCGGCACCTTCTGTTTCAAGTTCAGGCGCGCCTCCCCGAGCTGGGAAAGCGGAGGTGAGGCGAGGCGCTTGCAATGCCTGCACAAAAGGGCCGGAAGGAGACCCCTTGCTAGCCACGGCCTCGCCCGGTTCCGTTTGCTCGAACCTGCGCTGGCCTGGCCCGCTGGAGGTTTTAGTTCAGTCGCGGGGGAGACAACCGCGCCTCTTGCAAATGGAAGTGCTGGATTAGAGTTTTCGTTTTATTTTAGTAACTATATTTGAATCGAGTTTCCATTTTTTACTCAGTTATAATGAAACGAGTTTAAGTAATAACATAAACAAAAATTAAAGGAACCAATTTCAAATCATTTGAATTGTGTCTACATTTAATGTGGCCCCACTGGTGGACCTCCTGATGGCACTGGTATTTCTGGCCACTGTGTGACACAGAAGAGTGTTGGACTGGATGGGCCTTTGGCCTGATCCAACATTGGCGTCTCTCATGTTCTTATGTTAATGCTATGGAATGCCAGTGTGGTGTAGTGGCTGGCTGGCTTGATATGTCCAGAGTGGAAAGTCCCAAATTCCAGCTCTTCTTTCTGCCATGAAGCTCACTTTGGAACAGTTGTCTCTCAGCCTGACCTATCTGCCTGGGTTATTGTGAATTCCAGCTCTTACCGGCTGAATATTCACCAGCATCTTTAAAAAATCCAAAACCTTTATTTTTGAACTTGAAATTGTAAGAGATTTACAACAACAGAGGGTCCTAAAATAAAGGAATAGGACCTATTTTACAAAGGACATGAAATGTTGGGGACATACTAAAACTAAGGACAGCAATTGCCCAGACATTACATACGCCCCATCTTCTGCCTTGTTATAAAGATGGAAAACAAACTCTTATGATAAAGTTCTTGTCAACAGTCCATTGTGCTGTCTTTAAATTATGATGCATTTTAAGTATACAATAAAATTATTTTTTCATACACACACAAATACATATATAGCCTTACATTTAGATGTTCATACAACGTTCTTTCACAGATCTACATATGAAATAAAGAGGAACTAGTGTTCTAAAACAATTGAGGTATAACTGGGATTTTCCCACCCACCGAAATGATTTCCCACATTGCACTATACCTGCTTGCAATGTGAGGTTGGGGGGGGGGGTTACACTTTTTAAGAGTTTGGCTACTCTTAATAACAGTCTTATGATTTCATGTCTGATTTGTAGTATTATCTAAAACTCCCACGAGAATTATTTTGGGTTACAAGGGAATAGAACAACTTGTTATTTTATTGATATGATACCTGCTTAGTGTGCAAAAGCATTTCATCTTTGCACATTTCCACCAGACATACACTGTGGTCTTAAATATGGTGCTAGAGACTCCTAGATTGATTATTTGGTGTGACTTCACAATTCAATGCTCCTAACCAGGGATGGCACAGGATTTTATAATTTCTTTGGCTACCCTGGGTCCATCTCAGATTGTAACAGGCTGAACACATGAACCTTGGCACTGGACCGTTGAGGGGAGGTCTTGTTTCAGGGTTGGAAATTCAACCTGAACCATGGTATGATGATTTTCTAGGGAAGGCAGGCGTGAATATGATATTGACACCCCCCACACCAAAAGGGGGCCCCAAACAAAGTGGTCTACCCATGAAGGCTTCTGGATCCTTCTGGATTCCAAAGTGCTTGGGGGGATTTTAGGATTCCAAACACATTTTATTGAGGTTGCAGTGGGAGCTTGGAATGTGAAGCACCTTGGAACTTTTGACAGGACTGCTCCTCATTGACCCCTCCTGTCCTTGGGGTAGAAGCTAACCCCATTGTTTACCATGGAGTTGGTGGGTGACCTAAAGAGAGCCAAAAGATGTTTAGAAAGACACTGGCAGAGAATGCACTGAATTCTACACAGAACATCCTATACAGCCCATTGGAAGACTTGTGAAGCAGCAGTGATAGTGGCAAAGAAAGGTTATTTCTCTGCAACCACTGCATCGGCTAATTCATGATCATCATAGTTATTTTAAGTATCGCAGCATCTGCTAACTCCTGATTCTGCACCTTTAACTCTCTCAGGAACTGACAATCAGCTGTGACACATTTATGAAGTTTTTTGCTGATAAATACACAAATACGTTCTGATCTGGATAGTGGCTGTAATATAGACCAAGCAGAAGAAATGCTTAATATGTCGTTTGGTCTGCGGACCATTTTGGTCACATGAACACATGAATCAGACCTTTGGTCCATCAAAGTCAGTATTGTCTACTCAGACCAGGAGTGGCTCTCCAGGGTCTCAGGCTGAGCTCTTTCATACCACCTCCTACCTGATCCTTTTAACTGGAGATGCCTGGAATTGAACCTGGGACATTCTACATGCTAAGCAGATGCTCTGCCACTGAGCCACAGCCCCTCCAGTTACCCTGGTGAATACTGAAAGGGTCCTTGGGTATGAGAAGACCACCACTTGTGCACTGGACCCTTGCCTGTCCTGGCTGCTAAAACCATGTAAGGACTACATTAATGAGCCCTTGATGACTGTCATAAGAGAGTCATTAATTCAGGGCACCTTTGCTTGGCCAATCATGTCTACTACTTTTTAAAAAATCCCTGCAGTAAAACGATGTGACCAGTTATCACCCAGTCTCCAATCTGCCCTTTATGGGCAAAGAGACTGAAAGAGCTATAGAACACCAGCCCCAGGATAACTCATGTGCTCTGGACCTTTTTCAGTCTGGTTTCAGTCTGGGCTATAGGACTGAGGTGGCTTTGGTGCCTTTAACTGATGACCTCTAAATGTGGACTAAGGCCATGCATCTTTGTTGCTCCCATCAGATCTGTCTGCAGCCTTTGACACAGATTTGATCATGCCATCTTGCTGAAGCATTTGGAGGCAGAAATCAGTATACAGAGATGTGCCTTGGACTGGTTTAAATCATTACTCATGGACCATACTCAAAGGGTTGCCATTGGAGACCAGGTATCCAGTACGGGGGTTGTCTTGTGGGATTCCACAGGGCCCAATCTTATCCCCCATGTCATTCAACCTTTATGTAAAACTGTTAGGACAAATCATTCATAGCTTTGGAACTAGAGATAATAGCTCTATGTCTCTATCCAAATTCCCTGGTTCTTGAACCACTGCCTGATTGCTGCAGTCAAATGGCTAAAAGTGAACGTATTGAAAACGAACCTGGACAAGATGGAAGTAATGCTGATTGATAAGGCAGAGATCTTAGAAGCTATTGTGCTTCCCACTTCGATTGCTGCTGGAGAAGCAAATTAATGCAGCTGCCCCCCCCCCCCCCCCAGCTTTCTTCCAACTCAGTCTTGCCCACAAGAGGGCACACTATCATGACATGGCTGATCTGGCCACCTGAATCTATGCCATAGTAACATTGAGACTAGTCTACTATAATGCACTCTACATAGGTCTCCCCCTCAAAGTCAACTCGGATAATCCAGTTGCTGCTGAATGCCACAGTCATTTATTATCAGGAACTAGGCAGACCATGCATATTACTCTGATTTTGTGATTACTCTTCTGGCTGCTCATCAGTTCAAGGTTCCTCATATCTCCAGGACTGCCTCTCCCTCTATGCTCCACCATGACAGTTTCACACTACTGAGCAGGGCCTTCTGCAGGTGTCACGCTTCAAATGGGCAAAATCAACAACTGCCCATACATGTGCATTCTCTGTTGCAGCCCCCACCTTGTGGAATGGCCCTGTCTTGTGGAATGCCTGGCCTGAAGGCTCCCACCCTCCTGGCTTTTCACAAACTGTGCAAAACGGAATTACTCAAGAGAGCTTTTTTACCCCAGTAATAGAACTATACTGTAATGAATTTTTTTTTCATAAAGATCTTTTGGTAAAGAGACAGGTTGAGTTGACTGTACTACAGTGTCCTATCTGTATCCTCTTGTTGCTGTTAAGTATGACTCTGCTATATAATTCCTGCTCCATTAAATGTGGCATGAAGTTTCTGCTTGGTTTCTGCTTTGTTATCATATTTCTAATTGTTTTTCAGATTTCTGCAATCCAAACCTCTATTGTATTGTTTATTGAACATCCTATTCCTGTTCATTTAACTTGTCTCATGCTGTGCAATCCATCTTGAGAGAGTGAGAAAGGCAGACTATAAATGACATAAATAAAATAAAATATCATAGCTATTAGCTAACAAGAGTTCTATTATCTGTAAATTTGTCCGACCCTCTTTTAAAGCTAAGGCAGTGGCCACTGTGACCTGGATATCCCAGGATAGCCTGATCTCATAAACAAGGTCACCCCTGATTAGTACTTGGATGAGAGACCACCAAGGAAGTTTAGGGTGTCTACACAGAGGCTGGGAATGGCAATGTGGTGGTCTTAGTCATGGGGTATATGGGGAAATTGCTCACGGCCTTGCCCACCAACGGAGGGGGGAGAGAGCGAAAGCAGGCCATTCTGCAGCCACTCACACCCTCTCCCTCCAGCTCTCAGATAGCCATCTCAGTGGTGGCTGTATATGCCAAGCCCCACTGGGGCTTTGGCGGCAGCCAGCTAAGCTGTACGTGTCTGCCCACATTGCATGGGACGAGGGCCACTCCTTGCTTGAGCCTAGGGCCCCAGAGGATCATTACCAAGACCACCCTGTCAGAAGCCTTTGGTGAAGATCCTTGTCAAATACCTTTTGAAAGTCCAAGAATACAGTACCTATTGGGTCACCCTTGTCTATATACTTACAAATAATTATAAGAGGTTGCTTGAGGCAGGGCTTATCCTTACAGAAGTCATCCTGATTGCCTCTTCAGCAAGGCTCCTTCTTCTATGCATTTAACAATTTTGTCTTTGTCTTCTGGTGATGGCGGCGCGCTAGAGCAGACTCACCTCCCGGACCTCCCGGGGGTAAAGCTGCG